CTAATGGCTGCAATGGCTGGAGCTGAGCTGATCCGAAGTCAGGAGCCAGGAGCTTCTTCCAGGTCTCCCATGTGGGTGCAGGCGCCCAAGGACTTGGGCCATCTTCTACTGCTTTCCCAGGTGCATTAGCAGGCAGCTGGATAGGAGGTGTAGTAGCCAGGACTCCAACCTGCACCCATATGAGATCAGCCAGTGCTGCAGGCTGAGGCTTTAACCTGCTGTGCCACAGTGCCGACCCCAATATTGAAGTTTAAATAAAAAAAAAAAAAAAAGCCTTTAGAAATCTACCTTTCTATGGCAATGAACACACACATAGAGCTGAGAATCTTACAAATAGTCTTTTTTTTTTTTTTTTTTTTTGACAGGCAGAGTGGACAGTGAGAGAGAGAGACAGAGAGAAAGGTCTTCCTTTGCCGTTGGTTCACCCTCCAATGGCCGCCGCGGCCGGCGCGCTGCGGCCGGCGCATCACGCTGATCCGATGGCAGGAGCCAGGTGCTTCTCCTGGTCTCCCATGGGGTGCAGGGCCCAAGCACTTGGGCCATCCTCCACTGCCTTCCCTGGCCACAGCAGAGAGCTGGCCTGGAAGAGGGGCAACCGGGACAGAATCCGGCACCCCGACCGGGACTAGAACCCGGTGTGCCAGCGCCACTAGGTGGAGGATTAGCCTAGTGAGCCGCGGCGCCGGCCTACAAATAGTCTTAACATCAGACCTAGTGGCAGACTGTAACCAGACAGAAATGTAGAAGAATTTTTTTTAAAAAAAGATTTACTTATTTATTTGAAAGAGTTACAGAGATCTTCCATCTGCTGGTTCACTCCCTAGATAGCTGCAATGGCCAGGGCTAGGCCTGGCCAAAGCCAGGAGCCAAGAGCTCCATCCAGGTCTTCCACATGGATGGCATGGGCCCAAGCACTTGAACCTGATTTTTCCAGGCCATTAGCAGAGCTCTAGATTGGAAACAGCAGGTGGGACATGAACTAGCACCCCTATGGGATGCTGGCATTGCAGGAGCAGCTTTACCCACTATGCCAGTGTCAGCCCTAAGAATTTTTAACCTGACATGTAGCTGGGTGCAAAAGATGGTAAAACGAGGAGCAGCATTCAGCTCTGGAAGGAGTGAGGGTACCTAGTTAGAAGACTGAGTATTTGTTCCCCTAAGCAGTGACTTTGGTTTGGACTCTCTATAAACAGTAACTTGCAGAACAGCTCAAGGCAGTGCTTCAGAGCTGGGAGCCAGGCCTGCAGCGATGCAGAGCAAAGGTCAAGGCTCCCCATAAAGCCTGCCTGGGATGATCTCATGCTGGTTCTCCCTTACTTCCCCACTCCCTTTTCTAATTTATCATAAACTGCCTTAAACCCTATGTTTATTTCTACTGTATTCCAATAAAAGCTCTTGTGAGACCTGGGAAAGATTCCTTAACCTCTCTCTCTGAGTTTTCTCTCACTCACATGTCAAAGAGGGGTAATCTCAGAGTAGCACACCTGGGTTACAGAAAGATCACCGGAGAAGAGAGAACAAAGGCAGGTCCTTTGTAAATTCTACAGCCTTTCATTGCAGCATAAAGCAGTAATCAAGACTGGTGCTCCCTTAACCAAACTAGAGTACTTTAAAGACTATGGAAAAACAAAATTAAAAGATGTTTATTTTACTGAAAAAAATTTTTAAATCCATGTGTACTTTTTTTTTTTCAAAACATGAATTTTCTACAAACTTTTGGGAGACTCCTTGTGTGTATTATTGGTAATGATAATTCCTATTACTGGGCACTAAAATTTAGAAATAAAAGTTCTAGTCTCTGAAGAGTACATGAGACAGAAAATGAATAAAGGCAGAAAAGTTGCTTCAGAAGATTCCACTCTAAAACCAGCTGTATTTTTGACATGATAGCTCTACCACAGTAAGACTTTACCTTGAAAAACCAGACTTAAGATTAGATCTATTCATTTACTTTTGAAACTTGTCTTATCTTTTCTTTTTCTAAATGTACTTTTTAAAAAAGATTTATTTCATTTATTTGAAAGAGTTACAGAGAGAGGAGGAGACAGAGAGAGAGGTCTTCCATCCGCTGGTTCACTCCCTATTGGCCGCAATGGCCGGAGCTGTGCTGATCTGAAGTCAGGAGCCAGGTGCTTCCTCCTGGTCTCCCATGGGGTGCAGGGCCCAAGCACTTGGGCCATCCTCCACTGCACTCCCGGGCCACAGCAGAGAGCTGGACAGGAAGACGAGCAACCGGGACAGAATCCGGCACCCCGACCGGGACTAGAATCCGGTGTGCTGGTGCCGCAGGCGGAGGATTAGCCTATTGAACCACGGCGCTGGCCTACTATTTAATTTTTAAGATGTATTTTTCCTCACTTTATAGGTGAAGAGAGGGATTGCTTTTCCAAGGATCATTAGGAAGGTGAGAGTAAATAGTAAACAAGGATCCCAATAATTTCTCTCGGATTTCTGAGTCCCTGTCCTCTGTACATTACTGTATATGAGGGAAAAATCAGTATTCTCCCAAATTAGTTCAGTTGGTTGGGGTTGCCACCTGTATAAACAAGAAAAAGAAATCATGGGACATATAAAGAAAGGTGGTCTATTTTCTAGAAAATTTGGAAACAGACTCAACTGCATAAATGTGTATGTTTTACAGAGTTGTGATCCAAGGTACTAAATATATTTATAGCCAGTAATTCAGAGAACATTCATTCAATCAATGTTGGTGCTACCTTTGACTCTCTGTTCTGACTTGGGAGGCTTTTCATAGATTTCAGAGAAAAACCAAAGTTCACACTACAATGTTTCTTAGAGATCAAACCTGAGGCCCAAATGGGGCCAGGTGCTGTGGTGTAGCAGGTAAACCCACTGCCTGCAATGCCGGCATCCCATATGGGTGCCGGTTCCAGGCACAGCTGCTCCTGGCCCAGCCCCAGCGGCTATTTTGGGAGTGAACCAGCAGATGCATTTTCTCTCTCTCTAACTCTGTGTTTCAAATAAATAACTAAATTTTAAAAAACAAAAAGAAAAAGAATACCAATAAGTGACAATTGTGCTCTGTGTTGGAATCCACTAAACTGATGAGCTTCCCACCAAAACTTCCCAGGCAGGACTGCGCCCATTTTCTGTGATGTTTTTAGCAAGTATATTTAGGAACTTACATAGTTCTGGTTTGATTTGGATACAATAACACCAAATCCACATTTTTATTTCTCTATTGTGTAAAAAAGGTAGAAGCTACATATTTATTTAAAATTTTCAAACTTGCATTTGATTTAATAAACTTTAATCCCAATAGCACTCTAATATATGCAAGAAATAAAAAGAAAGGGAGCCAGGGACCAGCGCTGTGGCATAGCAGGTTCACGCCCTGGCCTGAAGCACCGGCATCCCATATGGGTGTTGGTTCAAGACCTGGTGCTCTACTTCCAATCCAGTTCTCTGCTATGGCCTGGGAAAGCAGTAGAAGATGGCCCAAGTGCTTGGGCCCCTGGACCCACGTGGGAGACCGGGAAGAAGACCCTGGGCTCCTGGCTTCGGATCGGCACAGCTCCAGCTGTTGCAGCCAATTGGGGAGTGAATCACTGGATGGAAGTCCTCTCTCTCTAACTCTGTCTTTCATATAAATAAATAAATCTAAAAAAAAAAAAAAAGAAAGAAAAAGAAAAAGAAAAAGAAAAAGAAAAGAAAAGAAAAGAAAGGGAGCCGCCTTCCCACAACTTTTAGAGAGAGATGTAGTTACTAAGAATTCCTGGGAGAGGACCCATTAGCACTGGCAGGAATATACTCGGGAATGAGCACTGACTTAAAAATCCCCCCTCAGGCCAGCGCCGCGGCTCACTAGGCTAATCCTCCGCCTAGTGGCGCCGGCACACCGGGTTCTAGTCCCGGTCGGGGCACCGGATTCTGTCCTGGTTGCCCCTCTTCCAGGCCAGCTCTCTGCTGTGGCCAGGGAGTGCAGTGGAGGATGGCCCAGGTGCTTGGGCCCTGCACCCCATGGGAGACCAGGAAAAGCACCTGGCTCCTGGCTCCTGCCATCGGATCAGCGCGGTGCGCCGGCCGCAGCGCGCCGGCCGTGGCGGCCATTGGAGGGTGAACCAACGGCAAAGGAAGACCTTTCTCTCTGTCTCTCTCTCTCTCACTGTCCACTCTGCCTGTCAAAAAAAAAAAAAAAAAAATCCCCCCTCACCTCTTAAAAACCATGTAAAAACACTTTTTAAAATTGGGTTTCTCTCCAAAATATTATCTGAATGCTTAACTTGGTCTGCACAACTTCTGCTCAACAGACCTTTTCAGTAGGGTTTAGCAACCGTGAGTGGGTAAGGGATTTAGTCCCACAGATCTGCAAACAGCTCTCAGGGAAGCACACTGGTTCTTAAAGTAACCTGGCATCCTCGGCTCTCTCAGGCTCCTGGCCCCACCCAACAACATCTGGAAAGAAAAGGATGTCAGCCCAACGTCCAAAATTACTTATGGCACAGTGGGGCTAACAAATTGTTGGAGGCAATAAAAAGTACATATTTTTTCTCTCCTCCAGAATAGTAACAGTGAAAATAATAATGATCTAAAATGCTACTTAAAAGAAACAAAGGCAGAGGAAGGAGCATCGTCATCTATTAAAGTCTAGTGTGGTGCTAGAGGCCTTTCTCTGCCACGCAGGCGGGATTTCTACGCTTCCTGTACCTCCCCAAATGCAAGGAGGCTTTAAACGCAAAAAGTCACAGATTTCTCTTCTATCTAGGACAAGATTCCATCCTAAATCCAGCCTTTTGGTCCCCATTTTAAAACGGGAATCCACCTTAGTGGGGGCTGGGGCACAGGCTGTGGACCCTACAAAACCCTCAGGCAACTGAGCCTGCAGGGGCTTCGCTTCATGGAGGGAGCGCATGCTCCAGGGATGTGAGGGAGTGACGCAGCCTTGAATACAGTCAAGAACGCTTCGCTGGCACAAGTGACATTACCTCTCCCTGTCTCTGACCTCCCTGAAGGGCACCGGGCTCAGGAAAGGGCCTCACCTCTTCTGGTTGAGAAGCAGCTCTCTGTGCAGGTCCTGGTGGTTCCGGGATGACTTGACAGGATTGACCAGCTTCTGAGGCCGGATCAGCTCAGGGTTGTCGTCGTCCGTGTAGTCTGGCTCGGCCATGATGCTTCTCGGGCTGAGACAGGAGTCTGGAGGGTCAGTCTCGAGTGGGCCGTCTGAAACAGGAGGAAGGACACCTGTGTGTGGTGATTTCTGCTCAGGGCCGGCACACTAAGACACGTGTCCGCCTGGGTCCACTCTGACACAGCACTGATGACTCTCCTTACGCACTTGCACAGAGAGACAGGACAAGGGCCGCTTCGCTCCGTCCAAGGCACTGCCGTTCACACCTTCAGATCCGGTTCCCCAGGTGCTTCCGCCACCGTGTCATGCAGTCGCCTTACAACAGGCAGCTGGGCACCACACCCAGGTCCTCTGCTGCTTTCCTCAGCCTCAGCAAATTCACCGCCCAGTGAATATCCAACCCTGACCCTGCATCAAGGGCAGAGGTTTCTAGCGCTCAGGGCAGCCTCTCTGGCCTGCGATGTTCCTGGTCAGGTTTCCTTCTCTCCTAACCTGAGCACCCTGGGGGCTGTGACCTGCTCAGATCTTTTCAGGTCTTTCCTCAGACCTCACCTTCTCAGAGGGTCCTGGCCTCCCGACCACGCTGCTGATGACACCTGCGGCCCCACCCCCACAGCGCCCTGTATCATGCACACTGCCCAGCTCACTTGTGACTGGAGACGCAGAGCTCCTGAGGGCAAGGGCGGCTTGTTTTCCCTCTGCTGCTCTCTCCCAGGCAGGGAGGAAGGGGTGCGGAGAAGGAGCCCTTGCAGTGAGAGCCTCTTGGAGGTGTGACAGTTGGGGGGAGGTGTCACAGAAGGAAAAACTGGTTGTAACGCATGGACAGACCCTTAGCTTTCTGGCCCCCGACTCCTGATCAGCAAAGCGAACGGACCAGGTAGCAATCTCTCTCACCTAGTCAATCTGGAGTTGTCCATTTTGTGATTCAAGTGCTTACGTCCTTCTCAATTAGACAAGCTCCTGGAGAGTGGGGCATCTGTCTCCTGTATGTCCCCCGGGCTACCTAGGGTGTATGTGACACGTGGCAAGTGCACCATGAACATGTGTCACATGTAATGATATATAAAAAATCCTCACTGGGGGCCAGCACCAGGAGGAACAAGACCGGCTGAGCTGCAGCCTAGAGACAAGGGACTGGCTGGCTGGCAGTATGCAATTGCTGCGGACCCTGAGGTTCAACCCTTAGTGGCAAGGCCACCACTACTCCTCTGCCTTCAAAATAAATGCAGCAAGTATTTCATGGTAATTAACACACCATTTCCTGCTTTCCTGTGCCTCCACGGTAACGTCCAAGACAAGCAGATACAGACCCGACTCTGGCAGAATGTCAATGCAGGACCTTCCCTAGAAAGTCCGCAGTACACAGGTACCCGTTCTCTGGCTGGGTGCCACAGTGCGGAGAGCCCAGAGCTCAGGAGAGGCAGTCTCTCTGAACGTGCTCACAGCTCCTGTGGCCACCTTTCCCACGTGGCACACTAGCAGTGGTGCAGGTGCACTTCCCTCACACGCTGCATCCTGACATAGGGAACCAGAGAGCTTCCGGTCCACCTGGGCAAAGGCTAGAACCACTCCTCCCCTAGTTTTCAACCCCCAGGCCCAACCAAGCCCATGGCAGGTGCTAAGTAAATGCTGAGCTAAATCTGTGAAAACAAAAGAAATGGATGCCCCAGCAGTCAGCCACAATCAAAGAAGTTTAGATTTCAGTCATCATCAATGACATTTCCAAGGGTCCCCAGATTGTCCAGGGACCCTGCTGTACTCCGGTATGTGCAGTAGGAAGCCCTGTACCGAGCAGTAGCCGACAAGTATCTGGTGCTCTAGAAGAAGCCGTGCAGGTACACAGTCACGTCTGACCCTTGCTCCAACCCGATCAATCAAAGACCTAGAATCCTCAGATCCTCACTTCACAAAGAACAAAGCAATTTAACTGTCATGCCTGTGCTCACGCTGTTAGCTGCATAAAGCTAAAACCAACACGAATGCTGTCCACTAAACTGTGACGCTTAACACTTCTACAGCAATCTTTTGAAAATAAGAGAATAAAAATGCAAAGAGTAAGTTAACTGAAGTAGAAATACAGTAGCTGCATCATTTGTTTAAATATTTGAGGTATACTGCTCAAAACTACCAAACAAAAAGATACAAGTTTGTATAACAAAGGGTACCAAACATTTGTTAAGATACTATTTGCATCGATCCTTTAAACAAGAATGCCTGCGACTTTTAAACTAAAGTGAGAATTACAAACCTCGCAGGAGCTGAGTCAGCGAGCCCATCACCGCCAGCCTTCCTCTCTGAAAAGCACACTCCTTGGTGGAAACATTCAATGCACCTCATACACCTCTGCAGTCCCAGGTGTCTTAAAGTCAACAGTACGTTCTAGTTAATCAGTAGACAAGGAGCCTACACACTACCATAAAAGGACCTGTTTCTCTGCCCGGTAACAAGGCAATCTCCATGACACCAAATCAAAACAGAGAGTCACCTCTGAAGGTCAGTCCTGTACAGCGAGGGAAGGCTTAGATGAGACTTCAGGCAGGCAAGGACAGAATAAGGCAGCAGCAGCAGCTACCGTAGTACTGCAGGAGACAGATGGCTTAGGCCAGGATGGCTGCAGTGCAAGTGAACAAAATGCTTTTTTTCCTGACATCTCGTAAGATTTAGCTTCTTGAAAGTCTTTTTTCTCCCACATGACTGGAGCAGGTGGGGCGGGGGATGGGGTGGGGAGTGGCTCGATGAGGGAGGGTGGAGGAGCTCTGTTGTAAACACAGGGCAGGTGCCTGCGGTGTGGCATAGTGGGCTAAGCCTCCACCTGTGGCACTGGCATCCTATATGGGCACAAGTTTCTGTTCTGGCTGCTCCTGTAACAATCTATCTCTCTGCTTAGGGCCTAGGAAAGCAGTGGAAGATGGCCCAAGTGCTTGGGCTCCTGCACCCACGTGGGAGACCTGGAAGAAGCTCCGGCAGCTGTGGCCATTTTGGGGAGTGAAGCAGTGGTTGGAGAACCTTTTTCTCTCTCTGGCTCTACTTCTCAAATAAATGAAATCTTTTTTTAAAAAAAATGCAGGGCAAACATTTTCCTTCTTCCTTTTCACTGGTTTGCCCCTCACAACTGGAGCTGGGGCACACGCAAAGAAGGCCACCTGCCCAAGTCTGATGTGTTGGCCTTAAGTCTGCCAGTGGAGCAGGCAGCAGGAATCCTTGCAGCTCATATGCAGTAGAGCACACTGGGGTGGGGGTGGTGGGGAGGTCATTTAGTAACACAGCACGGAACTGGCCTGGAGCAACTTCTGTGTATTTACAGCAGTGCAGGTGACTGGTGGAGGATCTGAGATCGGTTCTGGCCACCTCTCCATGACTTCCCACCCCAGAGCTGTGACTAGCGCATAGCAATGCCCTTCTTGCTCTACCCTCTTCCCTTTGCCAGCCATCCTCCTCTCTGCTACCCATGCTGGACAATATAATTTAAGCATAGGTAACTCTTCCATCTTGCAGATCCTGCTCTGATTAAAATGAAATAAAACACTACCGCTCCCTTTTTTTCATTCTTCTCTTGTCATCCCTTACCACTCTGCCTTTGCCACTGCTGCTCCCTCCAGCAGGCATGCTGATCCTCTTCCTGTGACAGCTTTGTACCTCCACAAAGCCAAAACTCACTCACCCTTCCAGACCTGCATAAACTTTAAATCTTCTCTGAATTCTCCGGTGTAGCTGAACTCTGGCCTCTAATCAACTATGGAGTTTTCTTCATTCCCTTTCCCTAGTATTGATCCACTGCCACCTTGTTTTACAGTAAAATGTAATCCCTTCCTCGCAAAGACTACGTTTCGGGTTTACGTTCATTTCTTCAGACAACATGGACTTAATAAATGCTATTTTAATGAAATTAAGAGAGTCTGACAGTAGAGGGAGCCCCTTAGCTATTTGGATTAAGGACAACTGAGTACAGGGCTGAAAGTGGGGCTGAGAGGCCAGGAACATTTCTTCAATAAGTATCAAATAATACAGAAGTCTGAAAGTAAAGATGAAACAGAAGTTTCTGGAAATTAAGTGCTTTGTAAGGGGACACTATTACTACATGGAACATCTCTTCTAGAAACAAATACAAAGACATTCTCATCATATTCACTCCAGTCAAGTAACTAACTCACAGAGTACATTTTTTAAAAGAATAAAGTCAATAAAAAATAAAACAACAAAGTAGTGTCATTCACTGTATAAGTTAAACAGTTTTCAGATCTTGGAAAAAGCTTAACTTCTCTCAGTTCTAGGTATTAAAATGAATATTGTTGTAAGAATGGACTGAATTGTGTTATATAGTATGTGCTCTGTATAACCCCTGGCTTAAAGGTGAGTATTCAATAAAAAGATGCTATCATTAGCCAAATTATGTAAGCAACACCATTTAATATTGTATTCAGAGGTCTGGGCAACCTTGTACGCAGAACTATTTCTCTAGGTCGTGGTTTCTTCAGACACATATGACCCATGGACTTTCTCATCATTAACATTTGATGGTTCTAATAACCTACTCCTGCTATAAACATGAGGAACTTCTGCAGGGTAGTAAGATCAAACTATTATACCATCAAGTGTTGCAGCGTTCCACATGGGTCCAGTTAGAGCATGGCCGTGTAGACATGGCCTGGCATGCTGCTCTGAGGAGAAGGAACACACTGAAGGATTTTAAGCAGTTGAATATTAACTGAGAATTACATCTCAGACAACTACTAATAGCATGCACTAAAAATGCCACCTGATAAGATTTCTGCCTTTAATTTCTGCTAATCAACAAAAGGAAGTCATTACTGAATTTAACCAACCTAAAGGATAAGGAAAGCTCATCGTAACAGGTGGATTTTGAGTCCTGATTTTCATTCTTCTCCCTTCCAGTGTTCATTCCAGGCCCATTTCTTTGCCTATCCTAGGTATTTCGTGTTAATTGCTTTCCAGAAGTAAATCACCATTCTCACTGAAAACTTTTACAAATGGGCTTATAAAACCAACTTTTATTGTGGCTAAGTTTCCCAATCATGCTATTTTAGCTCCATATTTGCATTACTGCATCATGCAGACCAAAACCAAAACTTAA